GAAGCAGGTTTGTTTGGCTTTGGTTGAAAACAACATTTAGATAATCAACCACAGAGTTAGGGTCCACTTTCTGTGAGATTACCAGGGTGGAAAATGTGTTGTAGGTCAAATTTATAAGTTATATTCAGGTAATACAATACAGACAAAAACATACTTTTCATGCACTCGTCAGTTTTGAGATATTTGTTGCTATTTTGCTTCCATAAGATGTCTTCTTTCAGACTAGTAGACAAATACGCCCAAAACAGACATTTTAGATGTTTACTTTACTACACAATGTCTATATTTGCATATTTAAACATAACGTTTTAGAAAACTTGTAATGCAAAAAATAATTGTCTTAATGTAAGTAACCAGCTGGGGACATTATTAGTTTTACCCTATTCACCCTTAAAATAAATAGGAAATAAAACACCGTAATTAATCCTTACAGTGTGAATATAGAAACATGATAATTATATATCTCCAGGTAAAATATGTGGTGTCACTTAAGTACCACCATAGTCCCTTTCATGCTTAAAGGTACAAAGAATTCCGACAGCAACACTGAGTGTGAGTTGTTCACTGTTTCACCCTGACAAGCAGGTAGTCATCAGGCTGATCTACTGGTTTTGCATAATTTATGTAAAACCAGAGTTTAAAAAATGTCCTTTCAAGTATCGAACAACTGATCTTTAGTATTACAAAACACAGTCAACCTTATTTTTCATAGTATTGCTCATAGTTGGACAATGACATTTTTTTTGTCCCACTGGGAAATATTTGATATGACTATCATGGCATACAAAGCTGTAACACTTGCTCTGAACGCCACAGAAAGACAGTGAGAAACCCTGGTGTATAGAGCTTATGTATTGGCTTTACCCAGGTCCATGTGGATCTCTTTTTATTATCTCCCTAATTGTTCTAACAGCATGAGCAGGCATTTCCATTTCCCATAGATACTAGACCTGTTAGTGCACATGCTTTTTATTTGTACATTTATGCATTTATATTGCATACAGGCAGGTCATAGCTTACAGCAGATAAACATATCCTCATTCTTTTGCTTGTTTTGGTTGATGCTAGTGTTATCACTGCATACATTTGGTGAAAATGTTACTCTTGTTTAGCTTTTTTCACATACTTGATTTGTGGCACACCAGACACACACTTTACATTTTTTAATTTAACAATGGGGGAAAAAAATTATATCTTACCTTGAACACTTTTGATCATAGTGGTGTTCATGACTGATGATTACACTAAGGAGTCAACATAAAACCTAATCACCTTCATCTCAGCAGGATGTGTGCAGCTGTGTCCATGTTGGTAAGCAGCCAAGCAGGAGACTTCCAGTAAAACAGAGTTGTAATGCTATACAACGCCGGAGAAAGTTATCACTATGGAAAGAGGACAAAAGGGACGGGTGGATGGACGCTTGGTATTTTCTAATGCCCGTTTGGATCCCTGCCCAGAACTGAAAGATCATTCTCCTAAAAGCTTTCAGTAGCCGGGAGGAATCATTGATCAGCACTTGCTGCAGGCCTAAGAGCCCTGATTGGGTTACTGTAATGAATAGATGTAAAAGGCTTATGGCCAGCCTGTAGTCATGAAACTGAATTACTAATCACAAGTCTAACATGATATAGCAGGAAATGTATGGAGTTTTAACCTACAAGTGTTCGATACAGTCAGCTTGTGGAATGCACAAGTATGACTGCCTCAGTGGAGACCGTCACACATTTCGTACTTTACTGATATGATTGTTACTTTACTGATAGGATTGTCACATATGAGTAAGAGCGTCATCTTTTGATAGTGATGATCTTAGCTCGGTGTCCTGTTCAGTCCAAACATAATAACACGACTGACAAAAGAGTGTAGTTGGCAAACAGCATTCTTTACTCACCTCATCTCATTCCCAAAGTGCTTTCATTCATCAAGCAACACATTCACTACAGTTCAAAGATCAAAACATACATGTACTACAGAAAGCATGAAATACTGTATGTTGAAGGTTATTGTTATGTCATCCAACCCTCTATACACCACAAATGTACATATTTTGAAATGCTTTTCCACACCTCTTGGCCTACTTCCCTCCCGTTCAAATCCAGATGTCCCAGGACCTGAGATGTCTAATTAAGTTGTTGAATGGAATTCATTACTGCACATGAGAAGGCACCAATAGTGTGAGGCAAACAACAACAGGTTGAAAGACATGAACAAAATCTCCAGCTATGCTGTAAGTGTAGCATTAATTATTTAATTGAGTCAGACACCCCCCCTTCTGTAATCTGACACAAACACGGACAATCACTTTTTGCACTTTTTGCACATTATTAAACTGTAAATTTGATCTTTTATATATCTTTTATATATATATAGTTATATATATATATTTATATTTTGT